ACATATTATTTGTAAATAATAATATAAATGTGATACAAATAATAATATAAATAATAGTACAAATAATAATGTAATACAAAATATAAATAAGAAGATTTTAACTAATTAAATATAAACATGTGTTCTTAAAATTATCCAATAAGATTAAATGATAATTTTAACTAATAATTAATATGAAATTTCATTATACAACAATATGTATAAATATAGGTGCTAATAATTAATAAAAATTAAGTTCTTCAGTTTTGATTTTAAGTTCTTTTATCATAATTCACATTCTTGAATATTCCTATTATAAGGTATTCCCCATGATTTATCCCTGGGAATACTACTCAGTATTCAGGTTAATAGAATATATTATATTTGGGGTATTATATAATATCTTTTGTAATTAGTTTTCAAATATACTTCAATATTTAGCTTTTTTATTTATGTCATGGATTTACATAATTAGTTTCATCTTCATAATAATTATCAAATATATCTCTATTACTTTCTTCTAAATTCCCAAAATCAATATAATCATCAATATTACTATTATTTGTAATATTAGAAGCAGTATTTGAACTTGTTCTGATTCCAAGTTCATTATTACTGATATTATATTCTTCTTCAAATCTGTAAAAAATATCTTTTTGATTAGTCATAGTTACTTGATCATAATCAAAGATTAAATATTCTTCAGATTCATTTTGAGCATTAAATATATCACAGCATTTGAATGATCAAGAAATTATCTTTGAATCTATATTTTCCCAAGCAATTTTAACTTTGACACATTTGTATTAACAAAAAAATAAGATGAAATAAAAACAGTTTGAAGTATTATACTTTTATAATAAATTATCTTTGCCTTGAATGATTTGTTTAATTCAACATCTAATGATTGAAATTTTGAAGTTAATTCATTAGGAATAACTGCAATATTAATTACTTTTTTATTAAAATGTCATTTGACAGAATCAACTAGATGTCCAGCAAAAGAATTTAATACTAAAAGAGACCGGGAATTGACAGACAATGGTGTCTGAGTATTCCACACATTTTCAATTAAAAACAGCATTTCTTCTTCATTTATCCACTCTTTTTTGTTGGTTCTAATTATTATATCTAATAGAAATTCTTGATTTTGTGGAACTTTAGCCAGCTTGAATATAATTACAGGTGATAATTTTTTACCATTAGCCATGCATGCTAAAACAACTGTAAAATTGGATTTTTCATGTCCACAGGTATGAATTCCAATTGTGTGAGCACCAATTTCATCAATTGTTGTTTGACTTGGAAGATCAAAAGATACAGAAGTTTTATCCATATTACTGATCAAAGAAGCTGAATAATCAAATTGTATTCGTTGATATAATATAAATACCAAGAATTCATGTTGTTTTTCTTCAAGATCTTTAAACAAATATTGTGCTATAGTTGTTCGATGATGATTACTTAATCAATAGCAGTGCAAAAATCCATCTAACCATTTGTTGCTGAAGCTAAACTGATCAATGCTAGGATATATATTCTTAAAAGAGGGAGATCTGACGAGTGCTTTTGCTTTGGTTTGAATTATACTTTGTGATACTCCTTTGAGTTGTGATCAAAAATCTCTAATCCATTCTTCAAGATCATTTTCGAGCTCAGGATGTTTGGATCTTGCTCCTATATTAAGTCATCTAACTTAAGACCAGATATTCATAAGCAAAGTTTTATTTTTTTTCATTTTTTGATTTGTACTGGCTCGATATTAAACTCGTCAGCAGTTGCACGTACACTTCCTATTGGATATTTCTTCAAATAGGTTAAAATTGAGTTTTTCATGCGTCACCCATGATCTTTTTTTGATTTTAAGAACAGAATTCTTTATTCGCATATTTTATTACTAAAATTTATTCAGGTTATTAATTTCATTAAATATATATAAATTTTCCAAACTTTTTTTACCAAGTAGACATGAAAAAATGTGAAAAAATGAAAAATGAGAGGTACTAATCATTACCAAAAACTGATTTTTTTTAATTCAAATTTTGCAATATACAGATATTTCGTTGCCAAATTTAATTATTAATGCTATATAAAATATCTTCTGTGATCAGTATTCCCATTATACAGTACTCTCTAATTGTGTATCCACCACCAGATAATGTATCCCTCCAGGTACAAATCAAGTTTTACAAACCTAGAATGTAACATATCCAGATATCCAAGAATATGAATTACAATAGTTGAGTTTTAGTTTATTTTGGTTTAATATCAAGTTTGACATGTTAAATTGATTTTATTTTGGAAATTTAAGTAGTTTTTGGTTAAGTTTATCTTTTAGTTTAGTTTTATTATTAGTTTAGTCTTATCTTCATCATCTTTTATTTTGTCAAGAAATATCATTTATTGTCATAAACATCTTTCAGTTAAAAAATCTAAAGTAAATTGCTGTGAACACAGTCACTTTTGTCATTTTGATATACTTTCATATGCAAAAGCTCAAAACGGTAACAATATATAATAAAAATAATAAAAAATAAAATGATTATAATATATTTTAGTTAATATTTTGTAATATATTATAATAAATCATATATTTTTTGAAAAAACAAGAAATTTTAAGTTTGATATTTAATATTATTTGTTGAATAATAATTTTTATTTCTTGTTTTTTTCAACAATTTATTTATTCAAACTTGTATAACTTCTTATAAGTTTGATATTTAATATTATTTGATTGTTTTTGTTAAATAATAATCTTTATTTCTTGTTTTTTTCAACAATTTATTTATCCAAACTTGTATAACTTCTTATGAATTTGACAGCAGAGCATATATATAATCATTGATGAGAAGTAAGCACTACTTTCCATTAAGTAATTAAAGAAATCAAATACGTCATTTTTTCTAAATGAATAAGAAATTATTTTTGAACAAAAATTTATGTTTAATATGACAGCGTGTCCGAGCGGTTAAGGAGTGTGACTAGAAATCACATGGGCTTTGCCCGCACAGGTTCGAATCCTGTCGCTGTCGCGTGATCAAAAATTTTTGTGAGACCAAAACTACGCGTAATAAATAAATATCAGAAGTGAATCTTGTAGAATTTACAAATCCGCTGCTTTTCCACGCGAAAAATAACATGACACTGACAAAACCAAATAATTTATTACTTCAAAGTTTATCCATTCAATGTCGAACCTTTTCTACAAGTGCCACAAACTGGAATTTGTTGCGTAGACGTCGTGGGCCTGCTGTTTCTCGTGCTTATGCGGGATATGATGTTGAAAAGTTAGACGAGTACAAGTTTGACGACATGACTAGCGCAGGACAAGAGATACTGTCGGCACAACGAGAAGTTCGTAAATATCTGCGGAAAGCTAAATACGAATTACCACATTTAAAAAGTTTGTAACAACATACTCATCCAATTGATAAATGAAGAAATTTATACTTTCAACTTTTGAGAATATCATGAATTTATTGTTTTATTATTTATCTACTTATAGAATTTGCAGAAGCTTTTAATCCTCCAGCAGAAAAACAAATTCTACGCTTTCAAAGAGAATACCTGATCGGTGAAAAAAGCCCAATAAAGAAAAAAGTAAAATTGACATTCTCTCTATCCGACCTAATAACTCACGCGAATCTGACGCCTGTACAAGCGCATAAGTTTATATTACTGTGTGGCACGCATTATAATCTACCGAAATGGACCACGAAATTCAATAAGGATGAATTTCCGTATCAAGGTGAATTGAAGTTTGTTTGCGAAAAGTTCCCGTATCATGCTCAGAATAAAAAGTATTTGAGTGATTTGTTGGATCGATTAATTAAGGAGGCAAAGGTAATTTAAGATCAATATGCTGTTCTTTTAACTTAGATATATAACTATGTTGATTGATTATTATGTTTTAGGATGAGACAGATACTTTTGAAGATATTCCTATTGATTTGCGACATATTAAAAAAAGGAAACCAAAACTTTGTTATCCCAAGGAATGGCTTCCAAAAGTATTGAAATCATGACGATTATTAACATCGGAACATATCAATTAACAAATCACAAATTGATAAAGTACTTCTCAGTTAATGTTAATTTAATGCAGGTAAGATTTGCAATGATACTCCAAAAAATATTTAATGTTTCTAAAACAAATAAATAGTGATGATTTTTAGGAATTTCTATCAATTAACATACAAGCAACTGATCCTAATTGACACCTGACGTGTTCATTTTCGACATCATGGGCTAATCAAAAACCACGAAAATAGATTATTATTATTTATTATTACATGAAGGCACCAAATTTTATGCAAACGAATTTACCATCTTCAACTATGCCCCATTGTCTTGTTTGGGATTCCACTTCGACATGAGCAGCTTCCGTTGCTTGTTTGGCATTTATTTGCCTTTCCACCAAACCTAAGCTAATCAAATATGATTTGGAGGTTATGACAGCACGCTCAAAAGCTAGAAGATCATATAATAAAAATCATTATTTGTAGTAATAAATAACGAGGGATAGAAAATTTATATAATACCAGCTAATTTCAACGGTTCAAATTCATCGACAGCTTTTTTCAATTTTTCCATGGTACTTCCCGACTGTTTCACACCCATAATACTATTGGTGACTTTAATTTCGACCTCATAGAATTTTTGAGCCCATCTTAATAATGGATCCCAATGTCGCTTTTGTAATTCAACCAATGACTCCGGATAGGATTGTTGGTAGCTGTTTTGATTTATTGATTTATTTTAATGGATGAATTATTTCTTTGATGAGACGAGAAAATTTATCGTGTCAGATGATAGTTGAATTATAGAAAATACCACAGAGTATCATTATCAAGATAACTAAGTAAACGTGTAATTGCTTGTTGACGTTCTGATGAATTACGATCCTCGAAAGTATCAATAGCTCTGGAAACCAGTGAAGTCTATCGTTGTAATGTTATTTATTAGATATGATCAATGTTGATTGAATATTAAAAAAAAAGAATATTTTTTATTCACCAATGGCAATGAATGATGTTTTAACACGGTCTCTTGTGACTCCCATTCACCAGCTAATAATAATGCTAATGTTCTTTGCGAATGTTTGATTGTAAGCGGTGATCCTTTCGGAGTTTTTAATGGTCGTTTATCAAGTAATATTGAGTATGTGCCTGTAATTGGTTAAGGAAAGTGTATTTAAAATCTATCGGGAATAATCTTTACAAAGACATGCCTTGTGAGTTATTTGATTCGAGAAATACTTGTTGCCAAAATCTGCGACGTGTGATCTCGGCTTCTGTCCGTATGAGACAATTTGTTTGTTCATTTTTTATTTTTAATAGACAGATCAAATATCAAAGATTGAATTTTCTTACTTTTGACCTTTTCGTTTTCGGTGTCTTTGGGTCTTTGATCGTTTTGGGGTTGCACGGTAGTATTAGTGTTACTGATATTATTGTTTCTTAAAAAAAGTGACTGGCAGAAAAATCTTGCAGATAATGTTGGGTTTTTAGATGATCTGATGGGTGATGCAAACGAAAATAATCTCGAAGATGATTGAGACCATCTTGTCACAGCAGCTACCGAATAAGATGAACGAAAATTGACGGCTGCAAGATTTTTAGGGTTTATCATTGTTTGTTGTGCTATCATACTCAAAACTCAATGTTTAAATTTTTAATGTTGATCTTTGATCTTTTTGCTAATATGTTTGTCAAATCATGTATGCTATGGTATACGGTATTGCAGTATCGGGACTTATCGAAGGCACGACGAGAAACATTTACTTTTTCATTTTGGCTGCTTGGTAGTAGAATCAGTATCCTTACTGATATTATTGTTTCTTAAAAAGTGATTGACTGCAGACGGGTTTTTAGATGATGGGTGACGCAGATAAAAATAATCTCATAGATGACCATTTTATCGTTCGAAAATTGATTTATCATTATTTGTGTTATCGAACTCAAAAAAAAGCCAGTTTAATGTTTGTCAAATCGGCAACAACGTCGCGTATGCTACGGCACGCAGTATTGAGGGCGTATCGGGATTTATTGAAGGCACAACAAGAAACATTTTATGGTAATTCTTTTTAAGCTTTTAAACTCGAAATATATATAATAGTGTTAATTTATTTTAATAATAGGTGATATCACTACATTACGAGGTACATTATTATTATTATTATTAAATGCTATAGTGTGGTCTCATTCTATTTGATTATTATTTCTATTATTATTATTATTATTATTATTATTATTAAATGCTACAGTGTAGTCTCATTTTATTTGCTCTATTATTATTTATTAATGCTTTAGTGTAGTATTTGCTCTATTATTATTATTATTATTATTATTATTATTATTATTATTATTATTATTATTATTATTATTATTATTATTAAAAGTAGTAAAAATTTATTGTATGTATGTATATATTAGCCGCACGAGATAAAACACGAGAAGAATTTTTACGAAATAGAAGTTTAAATGAAGAATCTCAAATTCAAGAGGTATTTATCTTTTTTCCTTGATTTTCGTTATTTTTTATGAATATTGATAATTTTTTTTAAACAGCAAATTAATCGCGCTACAGAAATTGCCAATACACTACGCAGAAATGTAGTGCAGGCCGTTTCATTAGATCAAGATAAAACACGATTTCGTCAGTATTTATATTTACTCATAATTAATTTTCGTTTTTTTTCTGAATTATTGTTATTATTATTGTTTTATAGGATTACTTTTGAATGAGAATCATGAATTGGGTGATAACGATTCGCTCAAACTCTCAAAATCATCTGCTTCTTTACAAAAATCATCATAATGAATTACCTTTAAATATAAAAACGTGTAGATAGCTTTCCTTCTCAAGATGTTGTATATAATCGCATTTTTTTAATTTTAATTTACTATGGCTACTGCATGTGTTGCGTAAATAAATAAAGCATGCAAATAAAATCTATCAAGATTTTATTACTTTGCTAAATTGACGCAAAGAATCTAGAACCGTTAGAATACATTAACGTTGATTGGTTTTACGATTATTGATGACATTGTGCACACTACTATAACTTGGCGCCGTCGTTGTTAAATTTTAAAGTTCTAACCGTAAGATGGTGCAACTGGGGTACCAAAGTACATGTACTTGCTTCAATTTCGGGAATTTTATGTGTGCGTGTGTACAAACACATGTAATGATAACAATAATTACCTTTGCATTTTTTCGTTTCGAGAAAAAACACGCCACCTTTTAATTTATCGGTACGTAGTATGGTGTTTAAGGCTTCTCGTTAATTTCACCGGTTATATAATCTCTATCCATCCTTTATTTTCTCTCTCTTCTTTCATACCCTTCCAACACTTTATGATTTCTTATTGACCATTTTATTTTAGGAAGATTTAATCGATTTGCGCATCATTCATGCATCATTAACATATGCTTTTTACTACACGGAAAAAGTATAACTCATTATAATTATAATATATAATACAATTTTTCCTCATAGGTGACTAACTAATAAAAATCAAAAATAAATAACCCTTCAAAAATTAGCACACACGCACAGCCCCTAGAATCAAAATTTTGAGTGAATGGTAATTGTAGGTTAGTATCTATGTTTATCGATACTTTATTTTTTTTCTACGTACATATATCGTGTATCGTATTTTTTTGTTTCATCTTCCAAGAGCAGACAAACACTCACTTATACTTTCACGCAAGCAAAACACACACACACACACGCAGCGAGATAGAAGTGTAGGGGAAGTGTGTGTGGTTTCTATTTAGCTAGGATAGTAATCCTTATTAATCATTATTGAAACATCAATATTAATTAGCTTTGTTATTAATAGTGGGCAAATAATAAAATACAAGATCAACGACGTATAACCAACAGCAAGTTTTGTCCTCATCACCCAACTAATCCATATATTTCACAATTCTTTAACTTTTTGTTATAATAAAAATATTTAACTGTATATACATACATAACACACGAACATCGAACTCTTCTATTCTTTCAATGTCCTCCTCTACATTAACTCCCCTTTATCGTCCTGGTGTATTTCCCGCTTTATCTTCACGCATTCTCGCCAGTGCCTCACAATCGCTTCGTCTAGCGATCCAATCACAACAATTAATCAAAAGCTTTTACGCCACACCATTACGAATCACCAGTTCACCAATTGCCACCAGTAAAAAATTCAATTATTTAATTGCCGTATCATGGCATCCAAAGCGAAAACGACAGACACCCATGAGCCCGATATCAGGTCATCCTTGGTGGAAAGAGAGAAAGAGAGCGGGAAAGGTTGACGCTGGCGAGGATGCATTTTTTTATGAACGCACATCTAACGGTGTTGCTATGGGTGTTGCAGACGGAGTCGGTGGTTGGTCTCAAGTAAGTGTGTGCTTCAACTTTATTTTAAGTCTGCGTCTCTCGAGTGCTTATGCGTACATTACCATATATTATTATCCTTCATATTATCATTATTCATAAAGTAAAAAATAAATTTACAGATGGGTGTTGATGCCGCAAATTTTTCTTGGGCGCTGATGGAAAATGCTGCAAATGTTGCCAAGAATTACGAGACTACAGAATTTGATTTTTTTAATAATACGCCAGACGGTTATTACGATAAAGTACTGGATGCTAAACAATTATTGAGTACTGCGTTTGATAATTTACTAAAAAGTGGAAAAGTGAAAGCTGGTATTTTATTTTATTTTTCATTATGAAGTGCATACATTGCAAAGTAGATAGCATCTATTTATCATTAATTATTTATCAATTATAGGAAGTTCTACAGCTTGTATACTTTCACTTTCCCGAAATTCCGGAATACTAAAAGCAGCTTGCCTAGGCGATTCGGCATTTCTACTAATCAGAAATGGCCGTCTTTTATACGAATCACCCTCCCAACAACATTTCTTCAACTGTCCTTATCAGCTAGCCGTAATTCCAGATCATTATCCAAATCAAAAACTATATTTTAGAGACAAACCAAGCGATGCCTACCAAGCAACTCATCAACTTCAGGACGGCGATGTTATTGTGTTAGCGACAGACGGATTCTTCGATAATGTGTTCCCCGAGGAGGCTGTCTCGATTGTCTATCTTGAATTGGAAGATATTCTGAATGGTGATCGAGTCTATTGGAATAATCATGGCGAGGAACTGAATGGTCGATTAAGAAAGTTGACAAGAAAACTAACGGATATCGCGAGGAAGTATTCGTTAAATCCCAAACGTATTAGTCCTTTCTCGCAGAGTGCCAAGCGAACCGGTGAAAGTCGGTTAGGGGGGTAAGTCATCATTTGACATTTCTTGTGTGAATTTTTTACCCATTAATTTTTTTAATAATTGGTTTTCTTTTTAGTAAAATTGATGACATTACAGTACTAGTTACATTAGTTCGAGCAAATACTTAGCCTTTTTTATTATTGGTGAAAAATCGATGATTATAATATGGTATATTCATCATACATTATAGCTTCATTTCATTCATTGATTCTATGTGTGTGTTGTCATCACACAAGCAAGCAAAGCAAATAAATATAAATGAAAAACAATTAAAAAATTCAACAAAATATTTATTATAAATAATATCCACGCAAAACTTGCATTTTTCCTTACAAAATATTTATCATTTCACTTTTTAGTAGACACCACACACCACCAAACATATGAAGATATGTAAAATTTAAGTAATAGACTTTATAGAGGTTCATCAAAAATTGGAAAAGATATTGCGACCGGTTTAACATCAAATCCTGTAACAAGTTTCTTCTATTATTATTAATATTATTATCATTATTATTATTATTATTATTATTATTATTATTATTACATTATATTCCAATAATCTAATAACGGAAACATATTTCTATTATAATAATTAGAGTTGTGATTGTCTTTTTTTTAAGTTTCATTGAAATTTCGAAAAATCCATTAGATCACCGAAAGGACTATTTATGTCGGAAGAAAAAAGCAAAAAATTGTGAGTTTTTCAAATTTACGAATTATTTTTATTTAATTATTAATGATAATACTTACTCGTCAATAGGAGGCGTTGTTGATGACTGTTGTCGTCGTTGTACACCTAATGATAACGATGAAGTTTGTTGAGCAGCAGAAGTAAACGGGCCAAAAAATTGACCACCTTGGGGCATAGTTTCGTTATCATTGATATTATTATTATTATTATTGTTATTATTATTAGATCTAGCTGATGAATACGACGAAACATTTAGCGTTGGCGATGATAAATTGAATGAATGATGACCAAGAACAGTGAGTTTATTATTATTATTGGTGGCTACAGGTCTCAGCGTTGGACTATTGTAAAGAGAGAGAATAGATGATTTTAACATGTCGTGTGAAGGTGCAGCAGTAGGAATGGGATTAGGAGTAGTTGAACGTGGCAACGTAGCTTTTTGTTGTGTTGGACTAGATGGGGCTGAATTTGTTTTTCCTAACGAAAATAATTCTGCTCCTTTGAGTTGTGATACAGAATTATTGTTGGTAGTGGTGGTGGCGTTTGTAATAGTAGATGATGATGATTTCGAATTTTGTTCATGTGAGGAAACAAAAATATCGACATCATTTTTTTCAGCAAGTTTTTCTTTTTTTGATGGAGTATTATTTGATTGTATCTGAAATTCATCCAGAAATATTATTATTAATATGAAACCTGTCAAATAGTCGTATCTTATCGAATAGATTATAATCTTACAGAAAAGCTTTCTTTTAATGTGTTCGGATCAGGAATTGGACCCTTCATGGCCCATCGTTTCATTTCATATTTTGATCGAATCCATTGGTCGATATTACTTGGATAAATTAATAAATTAATTTAATAAAGATTCAATTATATTGTCAGATTGAAGATTAAACTTGATTAATGAATACCTTTCAGGGGGGATCGTTGAATTTAGATTTGCCTCCCAATAACTTTTTGAAATAGGAAAAAGATAAAAAATATAAGCAACATGCAAAATGAAAAATGAACCAAATAAATTAACTCACGCATTCGCTTTTACATTTCCCCATCGAACCATATTCTAAAGAATGATATAGATACGCGTTTAAGCAGCAAGTTTCATAATAGTGAATTGTCAAATCAAAAAAGTACAAGAAATTACCTCAACTTGCTCGGGTGTCCATGTATCTAAATCAACTGATTTTACTAAAAAAAAAAAAATACGAATGAATAAATTAAATAATATAAACAAAAGTATTCTAGAATTCAGAGAAAAATTCACACCACGACTAATATGAGTGCCCATAGACCGATGCGTTCCCGAACATCGTATACACACAAAAATCCCAAGATTCCAAGAAGCCCATCGAGGGTCTGAGAGTGGTAATAACTTACTAGTGTAAGCTTACAACAAAAGTTAACAGTATACAAATCAAACCGATAATAAACTATACCTTTCTTTTTGCAGTCTGCACAATATCGATTTTCGGGTTGCTGTAAGCACTTACGTAAAATCTGTGTATGCTTGTCGTTTAAATTTCTATCAGCTGCTCTTTTAGAACGGGTCGACATCCTGTCTATAAGCAGGACGTTTTTTTTGACAACAAAAAAAGCAAAAATTAAATTAGAAAAAGAGAAGGTTAGCGTTGTCTGTTTGCTGCTTGTCCCATAAATTTGTAGCCAGTTAAGCCTAATTAGTTAGTCAGGCTGCATTATCTTTATGATGATGACGATGATGTAATCTTGGATACATAAAAAATATTGCGCGTCCAAAAGTTTTACACGTAATGGTATTATTATCGTTATTACTATTATTATTATTATTATTATTATTATTATTATCGCAGGTTTCACTTTTCTATGAATTACTGGACTTGTGTTACAAAAATGAAAAATTCTCGCTTTAAAATTGACATTCACAACAGCAACGCTTGAAAACCTTTATTGTTTCTTCAAATACACGAAACTGGCCCTATCGAGCTATTCTTACCAGGTAATGTGTAAAATATATTGATACCAGCTTGTATTAATTCTTTTATTAATAATACAACATTTATATATGCTCTTAGAATTGTATATCCCAAAATTTTTACCTTAAATCATAATCAGATCTTTTATTATGCAACAGAGGCTACTACTCAATCCCAAAAAAAATTGCCGACGCCAGGCTCGAATGGTAATCCAAATGCAAAAATCTCGAAAATTGTAGATCAGATAGCCTCCTTAACTTTACTCGAAACCGCAGATCTGATTCAACAATTAAAGGTATTCACTCATTTTTTGCAGAAAGCGGATCTTGTCATGTCATTTTTTTTTGTTTAATTACAATAGGCACGACTCAATATACAAGATATAGCCATGCCTACGGTTAATGTGGCTTCGGCCGTTGCTTCTCCTGCAGCAGCTACACCAAAAGTTGAGGTTTGGAATTCATTTATTTTTCATTTATTGTGCGATACTTTAACCCGTCAAAGATTTATATGATAAATTTCACCGAATCAAATAAAAATTAGGAAGAAAAGCCAGCTGAAAAAACCGAATTTAGGGTAAAGTTAGAGAAATATGAAGCAACAGCAAAAACTAAAATCATCCGTGAAATAAAAAATATTATCCAAGGAATGAATTTAGTAGAGGTAATTAAAAAAAAATATTAACTCGAATTTAATTATTAATTATTAATAGTTTAATATGATGATTACGTGTTTTTATAAAGGCCAAAAAATTTGTAGAAGGAGTTCCCAAAGTAATTAAAGAAAGCGCAACAAAAGAAGAAGCAGAGAAAATTAAAAAAACAATTGAAGACTTGGGTGGTTTTGTCGTGTTAGAGTAAAAATAACAATTATAATGAGGTAGATTCATAATTTATTCTATTAGGGATTAATAAAATTAATATTACGAATTTGTTTTCCGTTATGGGGGAGGGGGCGAACCTTAGTGATGATATTAATTTCGTCTGATTAATTCCAATCTTTCTTGATATCAAAGGACTGACATTTGTTAATAGGGAAAAATAAAATGTTAATTAATTCATTACATGAATTGAAACAAGAAATTTAGAATATAGAGAATTCTCACCCAATTCCATTCAATATGAGTCGCATTGTCATCATCAATGAATTTACTCTGAATTATTTATAAAGAATTACACGTTAAATCAGCATTAATTACGAACTAAATAAGAACTAAAGCAAAATCCAAAATACCTTTGCTTCATAGTGACCTCGTGCAAGCATGCCGCTAGGAGCTTCCTCGAGTTGGAACTATATATCATAAAAGATCTTCAAGGGTTACTTATTATTGTTATAAAAGTCTGATACGAATATTTATTAATATCACCTTCTTTTCATAAGGTTCGGAATTGGGACCATAACTACCAATCATCTCTTCAGTTTTATCAACTACCATGAAAATGAAATGAATATGATGTCAGGATGATAATTTTTGATAACGGATGCAGATACCATATAACAAAATTAAAAATTTTGATTACCTCTAATTCCCTTTCTTTTTACAACTTGCAAATATTTGAGCCCCGCTACCACATCATGTTGGATTCTTTAAGAGAAATAAATAGGGAGGATTCAGTTTCACAAAAAATACTATGAATCCATATGAATCTATCAATGAGTCACCTAAATTTGACCTTCAAGCGATATGAGACTCCTTCTTTGATCACGAAAGGCGTATTTTTGACGTTTTCAAGGGCTTCTAATAATATAAAAAAGTTATGCGTTAAGTTTTGCTCAAAATATCCTTTAGGAATATGATGTATTTATCTACCTTTGGTTGACAAATCTAACACGACATCAGGTCTCCCTGCAACTTCTAAAGCAATTTGGAGGATTACAACCTGAGTAGAGGAAATTCAATATTAAAACAAGCTCAAGAAAAAATTAGTCAAGCTGACATGATGACGTGGAGCATTCTTACTCTACGGGGGTCATCCGAAGGCCCTTTAGATTCGTTGAACGGAAAATAAGTTAGTCTATATTAATTCACAATTGTAAATATATATACAGTATAGTATATGCTCACCGGATTCTCTATGCAACCCGAGAGATTCTTTCCATTTATTTAGTGATTCATCGGTAGCATCCAAGTTCTTGTACTCATCGAGTGTTTTCTTTTCTCCAACTTTATAACCTGTGGTTTCTGACGGAGCAAAATCTTCTTCTTCTGACATTTCGATTTAATTCAAATTAATAATTTATTTAATTCTAAATATAAAATCAAGTCGAGGAGTGTTTTAACCACGCAATTAATTTATTTTGCAGATTAAAAGCTCTGATTTTATGAATTACAAGCCACAGATATACGCATGCAGTGTCACTATGTATTAAGATTTTCTTACCATTGTATTGTAGTCAAATGTAGAATTTGAAATTCAGCAGGACACTTTGCACATTGGATGAGAGTTTAAGTAACATGGAAGAAACATTTTTTATGAGTTATCCTACATGCCAACTTAGTTGGCTCAATTTGGTACATGCCGAAATTATTTCGGTGACTAGTGCAATGAGAAAGAATTCGCGATGGTCTGGCATGAGCGTGAGTCGGTTGAACATGGGTGGTTTGGGAATGAGTATGGGTCTTAGGGGAAGAACTGCTGTGGCAGAAGATACGTTTAGAAGCCAGGTAGAAAAATTACTGCTCTATTCAACTTTTAAAAACATTTCAAAAAGATCTTGAATGATAGTTTTTAAATTGATCAAAAATGATAAACAGGAAAGTCCTCTCATGACCGGGTTTTCTAATTTAAGAATTCAATTGTCAAATATATCTGGTTTGTATTTTCATCTTTATAAATAGAAATTAAATTTTGATTTCTTTTACAATAAATTCTCGATTTTCCTTTTTTTCTTGCGAAATCAATTTAATTAGACGTCCGTGAAATTGATGCACTTGCTTTACTGGAGCCTTTTTTAGAAGTGATTAGATCTGGTGACACAAATGGCCCGATTACAGCAACAGCATTGAGTAGTGTAGAGAAATTTTTAGCTTATAAAATTATCAACATAAATTCACCGAATCTTTCTGTTGCAATGTCGAATCTTTCATCCGCGGCTACTCATTGCAAATTTGAAGCGAGTGATCCAGTATCTGATGAATTTGTGCTATTAAAAATTTTGCAAGTACTACGATTGGCACTTACCAGTGAAGTAGGACAAGTGTTAAGTGATGAAGCGTTGTGTGAGATGATGGAAACTGGGTTGAGTATGTGTTGTCAGATGCGTTTAAGTGGTAAGTTCCATTATATCATCTGTCTTTTGTTATTTGATCAAAAATTAATTCATATAATTGATTAATATAACAGAATTGCTTCGAAGATCAGCAGAACACACAATGATTGTAATGGTGCAAACGATGTTTGAGAGAGTTCAAGATGATGGGAATTCAGAAGATTCCGGTTTCTTTAATTTTTAGACCTTCAATGTTTCTTTCATCAATGTAAATTATGTGTTAATATAACTTATCTTTGAATTTTCCAGATTTAAAACTTTTCGGAATACTTTCCATCAAAGAACTACTTCGAGTCTTAATTTCTTTACTTGATCCTCATGATCATAAACACACAGACACGATGCGACTTATGGCTTTAAGTATTTTAAATGTAGCTTTTGAGGTTGGAGGTCATAAAATTGGCCGATTCCAACCTTTAAGAGAACTTGTAATAGACGATTTGTGTAAATTCTTATTTCAGGTAATTATTCATTCTTATCTTTATGTAAAAACAAATAGGATAATCCAAAGAAAAATAATCATTTAAATAATATTTCTAGCTCGCAAGAACAGAAAATATATTATTATTGCTTTTCACACTTCGTGTTATCTCAACGGTTTTTGATACAATGCGTCCATATCTCAAACTGCAAGGAGAACTTTACTTATCATTTCTCATAGAAAGATTAATATCCCCGACGAATAACATGAGAAATCTTGAAATCAGTTCGGAATTTAGTAGTTCTTTTGTTAGTCTCGATTCACCACTTTCTTCGGGAATGTCGACTCCACTGTCTGAAAAGACTGTACGTCCAAACGGGGAGTCCTCGATTGCTACGGGGGAGGTCCGAGAACTTTTATTGGAGTCGTTAGGTCAATTTTCTCGAACACCTACATTTATGGTTGACTTATGGGTGAATTATGACTGCAATCTTTATTGCGGCGATTTATTTGAAGATGTGGTCAAATTCTTAAGTCGGGTACGGATTTTGCTATTATTTGAAGTAAATTTTCATTGAAATTTATTAACCTTTTGTAATGTATCAATCAGAATTCCTTGCCTGATTCAACTGGATATTCAGCTAGTAATTCCCATATTCTTTGTTTAGATGCTCTTTTATTATATATCAATTATACAGTAGATCGCATACAGACAGGGGTATAATTTTATTTTATGCAACACTCTTATCGATTACCAAGAAACATTTATTTACAAATAATTTCAATGAAAATCATAGAAAAATGGAAATAATTCGTTGATCTCAAAAAAATCATGGGATCAAATGTCCGCCACTGATTATAACGATGGAATAAGACCTTCGGTAATTCACTTATATTTCTATTTGCTTTCGTAAAATGACTTATTAAAATATATATCGTTTTTTGTTCTCGAAATTATTTTTTTTCAAACAATCAGGAATATCTTTCTCCGATAGAACTTTTAGATCGAAAAAAACAAAAACAAATCTTAATCGAAGGTGCTTCGAAATTTAACGAAAATCCCAAAGCTGGTCTGGAGTTTCTTGAAGGTAAATGAAGCGAAGAAGTTAATTCGTTTTGGTTTGTATTTTCGTCCCCTCTCTGTTATGCTATTTAAAACTGAAAAAACAAGTATTAATTAGTAATTTTCTATATAATCTAAACAGCTAATGGCATAATTAACGATTCTACAACGGACAAAAATACCAGCATTGCTTCCTTTCTCAAAGCAACTCCTCGTATCAATAAGAAACATCTTGGTGATTTTATTTCTAAACCTTCAAATATCGATATCCTTAAAGCTTTTGTGGAACTATTTGACTTTAGTGGGGTAAGTGTTCTCAATCATCATTGCTTTGTTACTCTAATGCTTTATTGGAACATATTTTTTGTCCTCAGAAACGTATGGATGAAGCTTTGCGAGAGATGCTAGAGACATTTCGATTACCTGGTGAAGCTCAACAAATTTCTAGAATAATGGAAGTTTTCGCAGAGACGTATTTTGCTTCCGGACCTTGTAAGTTATTATTAATATTGTATTTGTTATAGAGTTTTATGTAAACTTAGCACCAAATTTTCAAATTGCTTTTTATTATAACAAATTAAGCGGAAATCGCATCACGAGATGCTGCCTTTATTTTATCGTATTCGGTCATTATGTTAAATACAGATTTACATAATCCTCAAGTTCGCGTAAGTAAAAAATGTATATTGAGCGACACGCAGAATTAAAGACAAATTTTTATATCTTATTTAGCGTAGAATGACACTTGAGGATTATATGAAAAATCTTCGCAATGAAAATAATGGCGAAAATTTTCCCCCAGAATATTTGGTAAATTTGGTGATAGTTTTTACTTGTGATAAAAAAAATCATGCTAACTTTTTGTTTAATACTTATGTCAGCAAGCAATCTACGAGGCTATTCGAAAAAAAGAAATTGTTATGCCTGAAGAGCATGAAGGACAGTTAGGCTTCAATTATGCTTGGAAAGAATTATTGCGCAGAGCAGAGAGTGCTGGTATTATTATATGATTATTTCAAGTTTCAATTGACTGATTTTTTTATTTACATTATATTATGTACACACTATTTTTAGGCGCATTAATAGTATGTGATATATCCTTGTATGACAAAGATATGTTTATGGTTGCATGGAAACCTATAGTAGCAGCAATTATTTATGGTATTCTTATTGTAAATAAGATTTTGATTTTGCCTAAAAGTCGTGTCATTTAATAATAATTATTTTTTTAATAAAATATATTATATAGCTTTTAATTCTGCGCCGGATGATAATATACTTCAGAAAGCCATAACTGGATTTCATCAATGCGCGTTGATTTCGGCGCATTATCATTTATTAGATGTTTTTGATTATATTATAATGTCACTTGCCAAATTGACCGGCTTACTTGAAGTCAGATATGCAAATGCAAATGGAAATGCAAATATTCCCGTAAAAGTTCAAGATACAGAGTTAACAGTTAGTGATCTTTCCATACAATTTGGACGGAATTATAAAGGACAATTGGCAGCAGTCGTGTTATTTGCGGTTGCTAATGAGCATGGAAATGTGCTAAGGGAAGGATGGAAATATGTAAGACTCTACATTTGGTTAATTTTCTATATGCTCATTATTGATCAGAGCATTTTTCTAATTTATTAAATAATCTTATTATTCAGATTTTAGAGATATTCAAAAATCTCTTTATTAATTCGCTATTGCCAAGTTCAATGCTTCAAGTTGAAGATTTTTTGGCTGGAAAAACCACAATTCCATTAAAACCTAAAAACGCTTCATTAACAAAACAGGAAAGAAATCGCGATAATTCTTTGCTGTCCACTCTTTCTTCATATTTGTTATCACCGTACTCTAGCAATTATGAGTATTTACGAAATGAACCCACCGAAGAAGAGATTGAATTTACCATGTGTACAACTGATTGTGTTGTGGTTTGTCGATTGGAAGATCTTTTTGCAGACATTAGGTAACTTTTATAAATCTCATGAATTTTCTTTTATTTTTCTTACATCAAAAAATTTCTTGTAAAATTTAACAGACTTTTGGAGGAGGATTCTCTCGAGCATCTTATGAATGCAATTAAATTTATTGCTGATGGATTTTTGACTAGTGACCCAAAGAATCTGCAACGATCTTCAACTCCTGTGTCCATTACGCAACCTACATCAAAAACTACTACACAAACAACTGGTGCCCTGATACCTTACGATCCAGCCGCGATATTTTTTCTGGAACTTATGATTAATGTTACATTACAAAATCGTGATCGCATTAAGTATTTATGGTAACATAACGTTAATATCCTATTTTCGTTTATATTTGTATTAGGCTGATAATGATTTTTGGAATTTAAATATTTGAATAGGCCAATTATATTCGAACATATTTCCGATATTCTAATTAATTCACAAAATCATAGCATTCTTTTGGTTGAAAGAACTGTTGTTGCGCTTTTAAGATTGTGTATTCGTTTAACCCATAAGGTACAGTGAAAAGACCATTCTTCTTTTATTTATTATTATGCATAATCTGATTTTCATTCCACTAATTAATATATAGGAAGAAATGGTATCTGATGTTCTTCAATCGTTGGAACTTTTAAAAGCGTTGCCACTAGAGGTCATCAATGCCGTAGGTGAACAAATGATGGCCGGGATTCTCAACCTTATCAAATCAGATGCTTCTTACATAAGGTAAAACTCGATTTAGCCTTAAATTGCTTGTGAATTCTAATTGTTTATATCACTTTTTTTTAGAGGAAAAGCTCCTTGGGAAACTGTATTTTATTTACTTGGTGCGACATCAAATCACCCACAAGCATCAAGATATTCTTTTGAGACAATCGCATGTCTTGTTGGTGAACACAAGAATATTAGCATTCATAATTTCAGTGAAAGTGTTGAACTCTTAACAGAGTTTGCATCAGCTGCTACTTTTACAGGAGAAAGTGAAATGCATAACGATAATAACAAAAACTCAAGGCTCCGTATTTCTAAAACGTGGGTTTTCGCGTTGTTTATTTTCATTTGAATTTAATGAACAGTTTAACGTTTCAATAAATTTATTAATTTGAATATAATTAGGCAATCAGCTATCATCGAAAGAGCTCGTAGAGCTGTAGAACTATTATACCAACTGTATGTTGAGATCCCAAAGCTATTAAATGATTCTGAAGCATCTCCCGGTGAAGGTCAGAAAATTTTCAGGAAATAAAGAAATTAGTAAATGCTGCTCAATCTAACTTTAAATTTCTGATAGCTTGGTCTACTTATTGGCTCCCTATATTGACTGGCTTAAGTCAACAATGTTACAATCCTTGCCGTGATGTGAGGCAATATGCTATAACCTATCTTCAGCGGGCTTTACTTGATCCAGAACTGGTATCACATGGGGTTACAGAATGGGTAGTCATATTTGACGTCGTTCTATTTCCATTGTTAGATCAACTTTTAAAGCCGGAAATCTTTGAAGCTGATCCTGTCGGTATGGAAGAGACTCGAATGAGGGCGTCTGCATTATTATGCAAAATTTTTTTGCATTACTTGAATAAACTTGCTGAGTGGGGAGGATTAACGTCGTTATGGTCACAAATATTGGACATAATGGAACGTTATATGGATAATGGTGAAAATGAGTCATTGGTAATTATATGAATATTTCTATTTATATAAAAACTTGTAGGATATTTAATAGCTTATCGTTAATTTAATAATATGTAGATGGAAGCGATTCCTGAATCTCTTAAAAATATGCTATTGGTCATGTCTACATCCGGGATCCTTAATCCTCCAATATCACTAAATGAAACAACCACCACTCTGGACGAATCTAATAAAGCTTCTAATCGAGCTCCAATAGAATTATGGAATATCACTTGGACAAAAATAGATAAGTTTTTACCAAAACTAAAAGATGAACTTTTTCCTTCAACTTCGTCTTCGAATCCATTATCATCGTTACCTGACAACAATCTGTCTCAAGAATCGACTTCTGAAAATAATGTGCAATCGGGGTTCGAAATCATTGATCAGCATGTACAAGATGATATTGCCAATGAGTCATCTTCCTCCTCGGCTGCTCCAAAACCAGAAAAAGTTGAGGCTGCTGAATTAGAAAAAACTAGAGAACCAACCACAATTGAAGTAGTAGTTAATACAAATACTAGTATATCAGATGATGTAATAATTGTTTAGAGAATGATTAGTTGAATTAGGTACTTTTTGTTATGATAATATTTACTTTTTGTTAATAAATAATTTTTTGTGCCTTAATAAATGATAGTTCTGTATATCAATCATGTACATAGAGCATATTTCTTTGACTCTTTTCTATAGAATTGAAATGTAATTATATTCGTAATAATAATAATTTGATAAGAAATAATTCACACGAGTCTTTCACATGAATTATTCAATTCATTAATTAATATAAACCAAGCACAATCACAAAACGGAAAAACAGATATAATTAGATTTAACATATTTCATATGAATCACAAATCTTCAAAGTCAATTGTTCTTATCATATCGTGATTCCCCGTTCCAGAAGTTGTAGTTCTGGTTTCTGGCTACAAATTAATATATAATATTATATACCAAGAATTGAACTTGAACTAAACTCAAATTAAAAGTTTAGTTCACAAAAATTTCAATTTGATCCAAAATAATAATTAAATATATAATACTATAAAAAGTTAATAAAATAATCTTTTATATTATAATTAAACTTGTTTATTATGAATTTTATTATATAACAAAATTTGTGAGGTTTCAAATGCAAATTATTAGTTTACAAACTTTGAATTCAAAATAAGTTTTTATATATTTAAACAATAAAAACAAATATATTAATTATTTTTAATTAATAATGAACTCCAATTTATATTTCTTAAATTATTTATTTTAACATACAAAAATAATTATAATTTTATTCAAATTGATTATATAATATGTAATCCAAACAAAGAATACATGAAATATATCTTATTGTGATTATAATATTCCAATTTATCATTTTAATTATTAAATAATTTTATTGAGAATAAACCAATTTTAGTTTATATTATAACAAAAATTAAAGATTATTTTGTTTAATAATTTAATAACAATATTTTGATTAGTCCAACATGATTCAAAGCTACTTGTTTGCAAGTTTTGAAATATACAGTTAAGAGAAAAAAATAAAATATTTAAGTATTAAAAGATATTTGTTTTATTATGTTATTTATTCTCAAGCTTTAATATTTACATATTGTTATTATTTTTTATAAATTTTAAGTTCTTAATGTATTATTTATGTGTTTTTAGCAACTAAAGATATATAAAACTAAGTTTTTATGATGGGAGAGACTAAAAATTATTATTAAAGATAGATAATGTATATTTGTATTATAACAAGTTAGAATAATATTAAATAACTTCATTATATTTTACTAAGTTTTTTGATTACTTTTTAAAATTATAATCCAAGATAATAAATCTTTCAAGTGACTATCTTTCAAGTTAAATATAACAATTGATTATTTAATAGCAATTTATCTTTCAAGATTAAAATTAATATAACTTTATTAAGTTATCTAACAAAAAAATAATTGAAATAATAAGTCTTATTTTTCTAAAGCTAAAATACAAGTTGTATTTATAATAAATTATTGAATTTAATTTAGCTATTATATAAATAATCTCTAACACTTTCATTACTATCATTGCTTGAATTACTTGATTTATTGTCATCGAAAAATTTTCGAGGACGCAGTTTTGCGCAGATCTTCGGGTCCAAAAATCTGCGCAAAACTTCGAACCTGGCGACAATTGGTAAAGAAAAAAATTTAAAAAATCTGCGCAGATCTGCAACAAAATGTAGGTCTGCGCAGATTTTTTAAATTTTTTTTTAAAATTCTGCGCAAAACTTCGCAATGTCAGTTTCAAGTAGCAGTAGCAATTTCAAGCAGCAGTAG